GCAGGCTAGGTCTTAAGGGTCACAAGTGGGTCCCACAAACTAGCAATGCGACTTGAACCTTGGAGGTGTTTAGTCACGAGAACAAGATGAGAGTCTCCATCAGTGTCTAGGTCTGGAAGGGTCAGCTTAAGGATTCGAGGACCTGAGGCTGGCATTCCAGCAGGGGAAAATGGTTCAAGGGTCAGGGCATGGAGTCTTGGGGACAGACTTGGGGGTGGCTATGCCCAGGGGAGGGGATACAGGGTGAGACAGAGGACATCTGGGCCCCTTACAACTCCTTCCCCGCTCCTCCACAGGTCCCACTCCCCACCCTGCACCATTCACACTGGACCCATCCTCCATCACCCTACAGCCCATGGAGATCCGCACCTTTGTGGCCTTAGTCCAATGGAAGGGCGGCTGGACCCTCTAGGAGGGCCCCTTCAGTACCTGAACCCCAGCTCTGGGGGAGAGGGCAGACTCCCTTCTCAATCTGCTGCTGCCGCCTACAACTGCCATTAAAATGCCACCACTGCCTGGTACAGTGGTGCACGCCTGTAATCCCAGTAGCTCAGGAGTCTGAGTCAGGAGGATGGCAAGTTCAAATCTAGCCTCAGCAACTTGGCAAGGCCCTAAGCAACTTAGTGACACCCTGTTTTAAAATAAAAAGTTTTTTTTAAAAAAAAAATGGGCAAGGGATGTGGCTCAGTGATTAAGCACCCCTGGGTTCAATCTGATACAACCTAATAAATTAAAATATGCCGTTATTAAGATTTTTTTTATGTATTTATTAGACATCTGTATAATTTTTAATGGACTATATGCTCATATATTCTGTCCATTTTTAAAATGGGTTATTAGTTTTCTGAGTTATAATAACAGCTCTTTATTATTCTACAAACAAGTCCTTTGTCAGACATGGAACTTACGAATATGTTTTCCCAAACTGTAACTTGCTTTTTCACTTGGTTAGCATTATCTTTTATTGTTGGTGGGGTTCTTTGGGTTTTTGCCATTGCTAAGATTTAAGAGGGTGGTCTTATGTTTGTGTTGCTTTATTTGGGGGAAGGGGCAGAGAATGCATGACCCAGAATGATGAGCAAATCCTAGCTCAGCCCTGAACTGAAGTGGAGGTCATTTACCTGTCTGACTCCCCATACTGTACTCTACTGTTCTCACCCCCCCATTGCTCCCTCCCTCACCTCCTGCACTGATCCTTTTTGCACTGAAGTGCTGGCCCAGCTGTCTCAAGAAGCCACTGAGGGCAGGCCTCTGCTGGACATGGGCTCAGAGAAGCAGATACACTTCTCCAGACTGGTCTCGGGGGAGCTGGATCTTCAGAGCAAGGAATCTGGGAGGACATAGAACAGGTAATGGAACTAGAGGCTAGTCCTAAGTTAAGGCCCTGACACGTAGCTGGGTGCAGACAGGCAAATATTCTGGTGCTCTCGAGAGTTCAGGTTCTGAAACACAAGAAGATGCCCGGATTAAGTCTCTCCCTCCCCAGCTGAAACAAAGTGACTTGCCCTCCAGAGCTATCTACAGGTCATGTGAAGACCTGTGTTTGGATATCCTCTCAGACACCCTCCTGGGGCCCCAGAGAGGAGGGAGGAGGATGAGATTCCTGTGTGAAATTCCTAGTTGCTGGAAGTAATCTCCCTCTAGAAGGACCACTGGGCCATGGTCCTGCATAGAGACCAGTCTTTGCAAGCACCGGCTGCAAATGTTCCTTAGTTCTCCTCCAATGACAGGGACTGGCCCAGGGTGGACACAGAAGCAGGGGAGGGAAGGACCATTTTGGCTTTGTCAGGTTCCCAATACCCCTCCACTGGGCCTGTTTGGCAGAGGCCAGCTCAAGATGTGAGGGTGGGTTGCATTCTGCCATGGCTACAGAGGGGCTCGGGTCACTTTTTTCTAATTTTCTCTTCAGGAAAGGCCAGGTCAGGTCAGCTAGTGCAGTCCAAGGAGGATCCCTCTACTCACCTCCCATGTCAGGTCTGGTACTGAAGGTAGACCCCCAAACAATTTTTTCTTTTTCCCTTTTATGATATTGGGGATTGAATCCAGGGCCTCACACATGCTAGGCAAGCACCTTACTACTGAGCCCTGCACCCCCAACCCCTTTTACGGTTTTTTTTTAGAACATTTTTTAGGGGCTGGGGATGTGGCTCAAGCAGTAGCACGCTCGCCTGGCATGCGTGCGGCCCGGAAAACTAAAAAAAATAAATATTAAAAAAATTTTCTCTCACACTTTTTTTTTTTTAAAAAAAGAACACTTTTTAGTTGTAGATGGACATAACATCTATTTTTTGTTGCTGTGGTTAAATATGGTGCTAAAGATCGAACCCAATGCCTCACAAGTGCTAGGCAAGTGCTCAACCACTGAGCCCCAGCCCCAGCCCCACATTTTATTTTGAGACAGCGTCTCACCAAGTTATCCAGGTGCTTTGAACTTCAGATTTTCCTGCCCGAGTAGCTGGGGTTACAGGTGTGTGGGGTTACAGGTGTGTGGGGTTACAGGTGTGTGGGGTTACAGGTGTGTGGGGTTACAGGTGTGTGGGGTTACAGGTGTGTGGCACTGAGTCTGGCCGGTCTGCCCTTTCCTCATTCTCTCAGCACCTTCCACCTTTGGTGGCCACTTTGGGGACTCTGCTTCTTTCTAAAACAAGGACCCACCAACCATGAAGCAGAGAGGAATCTTCACCAGACACTGAATCTGTGGCACCTTAACCATTGACTTCCCAACCTCTAGAACTGTGAGAAATGCCTTCCTATCACTTAGAAACTACCCAATCTAAGGTGTTTTGATATAGCAGCTAGAATGGATTAAGACAGTCGCCTTCTAAAGATTAGACAGTCATCCCTCCCAAGAGATGCAAGGAGGGATCCCTAGTCTAGCTGTCACACTGCATGGGGTTGGGGTTTTAAGTATGCCTCCCATAATTTTCTTTTTTTGGGGGGGGAGGGAACCAGGATTGAACCTAGGGCGCTTAACTACTGAGCCACATCTGCAATCCTTTTCCTTTTTATTTTGGGACAGGGTCTAACTGAGTTACTTAGGGCTTCACTAAATTGCTGATGCTGGTTTTGAACTTGTGATCCCCTGCCTCAGCCTCCCCAGCCACTGGGACTATAGGTGGGTGCTACTGTGCTCAGTACTCTGCTGGTTCTTTCTTTCCATTTTCTTTAGCTTGAAGCTGTGAGTTAAAGTTGTCTCTTTCCTTCCTCCATTCTCTGGCCTGTAACTTAATTAAGAACATCCCAGAATTGTTTTTTTTTTTTCTTTTTGACATCACTGAGGATGGACTCAGCCTCACACATTTCTATTGTGAAACGGAGTGTCACCAAGTTGCCCAGGCTGGCCTCAAACTTGGGATCCTCCTTGTGGTCTCCGGAGGTGCTGAATATAATAGATGTTCTCTGCTACACCCGGCTTCCTTTCTACTTTGAGAAGGTCTCACTTGGCCTCAATCTTGTGATCCTCCTGCCTTAACCTTGCAAAACACTGGGATTGCAGGTTTGGGCTACTGTTTCTAGCTCTTAGTTTTTTCTTTTTTTGGTACTGGGGATTGAACCCAGAAGCACTTATCACTGCACTACATCCCCAAACCTTTTTTTTTTTTTAATTTAGAGACAGGGGCTGGGGATGTGGCTCAAGCGGTAGTGCGCTCGCCTGGCATGCGTGCGGCCCGGGTTCGATCCTCAGCACCACATACCAACAAAGATGTTGTGTCCGCCGAGAACTAAATAAATATTAAAAATTCTCTCTCTCTCTCTCTCTCCTCTCTCACTCTCTCTTAAAAAAAAAATTTAGAGACAGGGTCTTACTAAGTTGCTTAAGGCCTTGCCAAGTTCCTGAGGCTGGCCTCAAACTTGTGATCCTCCTGCCTCAGCCTCTTGAGTTGCTGGGATTACAGGTGTGCACCACTGTGCCCAGCTCTCAGTAGCTTTCAAACAATAGAAATTTATCATCTTACCTTTCTGGAGCCCAGAAGTCCAAGCTCAGGGTATGGGAAGGGTTGGTTCCCTCCCGGGACCTGTCAGGAGAATCCCTTTCTTACCTTTCACCTATTGTATGGTGGTTATCTAGTCATCTTTGGTATTCCTTGGCTTGTAGCAGCATGAAACTGGTCTCTGCCTTCATCTTCATGTGGTGCTCTATGTGTGCCAGTCTGTGTCCCCAACCCTGCTCTCTTTACTTTCTTTGGTACTGGGGTTAGAACCCGGGGGCAGCTTTACCACCGAATTATATTCCCAGCCTTCAAGTATTTTTTTTTTAATATTTATTTTTTAGTTGTAATTGGACACAATACCTTTATTTCACTTATTTATGCGGTGCTGGGGATCGAACCCAGGGTCTCACACATGCAATGCGAGCGCTCTACCGCTGAGCCACAACCCCAGCCCTCAAATATGGTTTAAAAGAAATTGTCATGAATAACAAAGGTGCGTATAATACCCCTGGGAACTCTGTGCCAGGAACCTGAGACAAAGAGCGAGTATTTATTTCCTATTGCCAAAGACAAAGTCAAGAACTGGGGTTGTGGCTCAGTGGTAGAGAGCTTGCCTAGCACGTGTGAGGCACCGGATTTGATCCTCAGCACCACACAAAAATGAAATGAAGATACTGTGTGTCCACCTACAACTAAAAAATAAATATTAAAAAAAAAAAGTCAAGAGCTGTTGTAGCTCAGTGGTACAGCACTTGCCCAGCATGCTCAAGGGCCTGGGTTGGATCTGCAGCACCCACACACACACAAATCACAACACGTTATAAATTGAATTGTCTTTCATTGCCAGGCAACAGTGGCTGACCAGTGGATATTTGAAAAAAAAATATTTTTAGTTGCAGATGGAGGACACAATACCTTTATTTTATTTGTTATGTGGCGCTGAGGATCAAACCCAGTGCCTCACACATGCTAGGCAAGCGCTCTACCACTGAGCCACAACCTCAGCCCAGACCACTGCATTTTGTAAGATGGAAACAAGGAAGCAAGAGCAGGAAAAGATACAAAAACTGATGGGTGAGCATCAGAGGACTTATTTGTAAGGTCAAAGCAAAGGGGACTTCCTTATTACACTGACTCAGTTCGACCAAGAATACAGATGTGTGCCACCACAGCTGGTTTAAAAATATTTTGACTCACGGTTACCCATTTTCCATTTTCTGACCCATCGACATGAATGACCTTGCATCTAGCTTCCTAGATCACTTTCATTCACAGGACAGTTCCACAGTGGGAATTTCATGACTGAAAGGTATCTGTTGGAATCGTGGACGTTCCCCAAGTCGTGTTCACTGGGCTACTATCTATTGTGCACCCTCATGTGTTTGTTCAAGGATGTGGACAAAGCGAAAGCTTTTCCACATTGCTTACACGCGAAAAGTTTCTCTCCACTGTGAGTTCTTTCATGTCTTTGAAAGGAACTGCGAAGACTAAAGGCTTTGCCGCATTCTTCACATTTATAGGGTTTCTCTCCAGTGTGCATTCGCATGTGCCCTTGAAAGCTTGTGGGATAAATGAAGGCTTTCCCACACTGCTTGCATTCATAGGGCCTCTCTCCGGTATGAGTTCTTTCATGTATCTGAACGTAACTGGAACAACTGAAGGCTTTCCCACATTGCTTACACTCATAAGGCTTCTCTCCAGTGTGGGTTCTCTCGTGCGTTCGAAACGCACTGAGAAAGATGAACGCCTTCCCACATTCCCTGCACTTGTAAGGTCCATCTCCAGTGTGCGTTATCATGTGTCTTCGAAAGTTTTCGAGAGAAATGAAAGCTTTGGCACATTCTTTACATTCAAAGGGTTTTTCTCCAGTGTGATTTCGTTCGTGGATCTGCAAATCTAGAGGATAATTGAAGGTTTTCCCACACGTTTTACATTCATAGGGTTTTTCTCCAGTGTGAGTCCTTTCATGTATCCGACAGTAACTGAGGCGACTGAAGGCTTTCCCACACTCTTTGCATTTATAGGGTTTCTCACCAGTGTGCACCCTCATGTGTACTCGAAAGGCTGGGCGCGCACTGAAGGCTTTCCCACATTCCTTACACTTGTAGGGTTTTTCCCCAGTGTGAGTTCTTTCATGAATCTGAACGGAAGTGGAACATCTGAAGGCTTTCCCACATTGTTGACACTTGTAGGGTTTCTCTCCAGTGTGGATTCTTTCATGTACTCGTAAAAAACTGGGGCGAATGAAAGCCTTCCCACATTCCTTACATTGGTAAGGTCTGTTGCCATTGTGTGTTATCATGTGTGTTTGAACGGTCGTTCGGGAAATGAAGGCTTTCCCGCATTCCTTACACTTATAGGGTTTCTCCCCAGTGTGGGTCCTTTCATGTATTTGAATAGAACTGGGACAGCTGAAGGCCTTCCCGCATTTCTTACATTCATAGGGCTTCTCCCCAGTGTGAATCCTTTCATGAATTCGAAGAGAACTAGGAGATCTGAGAGCTTTGCCACAGTGCTTACACTGATAGGGTTTCTCTCCGAAATGTGTCCGTTCGTGTGTCTGAAAGGGCTGGTGATATATAAAGGTTTTCCCACACTGTTTACACTTATAGGGGTTTTCTCCAGTGTGGGTCCTTTCATGTCTTTGAAAGGATTTGAGGTAACTGAAGGTGATCCCACACTCCTTGCATTTGTAAGGCTTGTCTCCATACTTACATCCGTAGAATTCGTGTCCAGGGTGAGACCTGATGTGCCTCGTAAGGGATGAATGAAGCATGAAGACTTTTCCACACACGTTACATTCGTAGGGTTTTACTCCAGAAGTTTTCTTGGTCCCGCTGACATTTGGAATCTGGCTGACGGTTTCTCCAGACTGAACACCTTTACTTTCACAGAGTCTCTGCACCATATGACTTCTGTGAAACATTAGAAGCACATTAATAATGACTGCTCATCATTATTTTACACTATAATTACATTTTTATTATTTCCAGAAACACCTGTAGGTTTTCTGCCCTGTGGGAACTTTTTTTTTCTTTCTTTCTTTTTTTTTTTTTTTTGGCACTGGGGATTGAACTCAGGGGCACTCAACTACTGAGCCACATCCCCAGCCCTATTTTGTATTTTATTTAGAGACAGGGTCTCACAAAGTTGCTCAGTGCCTTGCTTTTGCTGAGGCTGGCTTTGAACTCACAATTCTCCTGTCTCAGCCTCCCAAGTGGCTGGGGTTACAGGCATGTGCCTCTGCGCCCAGCAGTCTGAACTTTTTCAAGCTTCTCTACAGCTATTATCAAAACAGCAATATTCATACACATGGTTTCTTAACACTGTTTCCAAGTAAGGTATTTTTCAAACACTGACCATCCATGTCATTTAAGAAAACATTTTTGGGCTAGGTACAGAGTTACACACCTGTAATCCCAGCTTCCTGGGAAGCTGAGGTAGGAGGGTCTCAAGTTCAAGGACAGCCTGGGCAACTTAGTGAGACCCTGTCTCAAAATAAAAAAGTGGGGCTGGGCACAATGGCACACGCCTGTGATCCCAGCTACTCCACAGGCCAAGGCAGAAGGATCACAAGTTTAAGGCTAGTCTGAGGTCAGCCTGGGCAACTTGGCGAGATCTTGTCTCAAAATAAGAAATACCAAGAGCTAGGGGTTAAGGGAGATTTAGCTCAGTGACAGAGTAGCTCAGTACCACACAAAAGCAAAACAACCACAACAAAAGGTCTGGGATGTAGCTTTGTGGTAGAGAGTCCCTGACTTAAATGCCCAGCACTACAAAAGAAAAAAAAAATCTTTCTTTTTTTTTTTTCTTTTGGTGAAAATGTCTAAGAAAAGGGCTGAGATTGTAGCTCAGCGGTAGAGCACTTGCTTAGCACGTGAGAGGCCCTGGGTTTGATCCTCAGCACACATAAAAATAAATAAAATAAAAATATTGTGTCCAAATACAAAAAAAAAGAAAGAAAATGTCTAAGAAAAAAATCAATTTGAGGATGAATTTGTTTGCTTGCTTTAAAAAAAAATCATACTAAAATATCATACCTACTGGGGCTCTTTCTCTGGTAGGTACAACTCACCTTAGATTTCTCCCTGGGATTTTGAACTCATCTTTGATCTTCCAGTCTTCCCATGTATTTCCTAAAATATAGATCCAGAAAAATCATTCTAAGTTATCAGAAATTATAGCAAATGTTAGATTCCCTAAGCCAAAGTAACCCCATTTTGAAACTCAGCACCTGCTCACCCAGGCATGACCTTCCCATTAGGCCCACCCGCAAAGACTCCCTAACTGTCGAAACCACAGCGTCAAATAACAATCACAGGACCAGAGGGTTATCTGTAACCTCTCCATCCTAGTTGACTATAGTTAGCAAGTTTTCCCCGCAGGCTGCGGCACCTGGCAGAGGGCAGCCTGGCCGATATTCCTTTGCTTGAACTTAGAGCTCTGTCCCTCGTGGATATCTGCGCCTAGGGTAACTGCCACTGTTGAAGGTAGGCCAATCTCTTTCCTCATTGATTCGTGAGAAGCTTTCTAACTTTGCCCCAATTTGGGGGGACCAACTCAGCCTTTCAAAACCTCTATCGTCAGGGTAGAGGGAACCACTTCCAACCCACGCAGGACAACTCCTCCACCATGCAGCACTGAGGGGACGCATTCTGCCCAGTCCTTTTGACTCTTTTTTTTTTTTTTTTGAGGGGGGAGTGCCACTGAGGATTGAACTCAGGGACAACTGGCCACTAAGCCACATCCCCAGCCTTATTTTGTATCTTATCGAGGGACAGGGTCTCACAGAGTTGCTTAGTGCCTCGCTAAATTGCTGAGGCTGGCTTTGAACTTACGATCCTCCTGCCTCAGCCTTCAGATCTTCCTGCCTTAGCCTCCCCAGCTGCTGGGATTACAGGCGTGAGCCACCACACCCAGACATTCTTTTTAATTGAACCTCATCGCCCCACTCCCTTAACGGGAAGAAATCTCTCAAAATTTCGAGCCTCCTTTACCCTTCATTTCCCCAATATGGGACTTATGGAACCCACCCCAGTGGCTACAGATCTCTCTCCCTCCTCTTCTTGCCGATCCGTTCCCCTCACACACACCACATTGCTTCTTTCTTTGGCCCCAAGTAGCCCACACCTGCTGACGTATCCACCATGCCACCTAAGGGTTCCCTGTACAACACAACTGACAATGTCACCTCAGAGCCAGCCTGGCACCTTCTTCCTCTGCAGAAGTCCCATTCTTCGATGCATGACACCCCCCCTTCCCACCTTCTGCCTCCCTGTCCTGCTCACACCTCATATAACCAGATACCCTGAGGGGGAGGTTGAACTGACCCTCTCCTCCCGCTCCTGGACTTCAATGTCCCAGATGCAAAAGACTGATTGTCACCCCAGGCCTCATTGGATCGGGCATATTGGCAGCAGCTGGCACGGGGTAGCAGGAACAGCTACAGGCACTCGTCTTTACTATAAACTCTCCCAAGAACTGAAGGAGGACTTTGAGCAGGTGGCAGACTCCCAAGGGACCTCCTCAGCCAACGTAGGTCTCCAAAATAGGAGAACCAACAGCAGGGAATGGAGGCGCCTGGGTCTTTTTAGGAGAGGAATGCTGTTACTTCACCAACAAATAATCCCAGGAAAAACAGCTGAGCTCCGGGGGAGCATCGAGAAACACCCCAGGAGCAGCAGCAGTCACCTCCCTAGGACCTTTTGGGCCAGACTCTCCCCTGGCTGCTCCCGTTGATGGGACCTCTCCTTACATTCATCATAGAGCTCTTAATAGGACCTTGTCTGATAAAATGCCTGATTTTTTTTTTTAACTAGATTGAGCAAAGGCACTCACTAATCAGACTGTAAATCAGCTCGTTATGAGCCCGTTTTGAAAATCAGCACCTGCCCACTCAGGCATGACCTTCCCATTAAGCCCACCCCCAAAGAGTCCCTAAGTATAGAAACCACAGCAAAGGCGCCAAATAACGATCACAGGACCAGATGGGTTGTTTCTAACGACTAACCAAGGGAAAGGATGCCACTCTTACCGACAGAGGCCAGGTTCCTGAAGGTTTCCTGCATCACATCTCTGTAGAGTTTCTTCTGCGAAGGATCCAGCAGAGCCCACTCCTCCTGGGTGAAGTTCACAGACACGTCCTCAAAGGCCACTGAGTCCTACAACATCCCACATATGTGCACAGATAAGGAGTGAGATTACCAGGGCTAGAGGCCTGTACTCAAGTTCCTAAATTCACACACAATTCAAAACATTTATTTGTTTGCCTTGGTCATCAGTTTGTCTCTGTCCACACTTCTGTAAGTCAAGAGCGTCTGGAACCAACGGACTTACAGCTACATTTTATTATGGTCACTGCCAAGTCCTAGAGGTTCCTAATGGAAATGTCTAGTTGGGCTTGAAAGAAGCTGGTGGTGCATGCCTGTGTCATCCCAGTGACTCAAGAGACTTAGGCTGGAGATTCCAAGTTCAAGGGCAGCCTCAGCAACTTAGGGAGTGGATGTCTCAATATAAAAGACAAAAAGGGTTGGGCATGTGGCTCAGTGGTTAAGTGCCTCTGGGTTCAATACCCAGTTCAAAAATGGGAGGGGGAACTTGGAAAAATGAGAGAAACCCTTTTCATCAATTTCTTTTGTATGTGTGAGAAAATTTTTCATCTCATTTATTTCCTTCTTCCTTTTCTTCTCTTTTTGGTACCAGGAAGTGAATTCAAGGGCACATAAGCCCTTTCAATTTATTTTATTTATTTATTTATTTATTAAACATTTCTTTTTTTTTTTTAGAGAGAGAGAGAGAGAGAGAGAGAGAGAGAGAGAGAGAATTTTTTAATTTTTTTTTTTCAGTTTTCGGTGGACTCAACATCTTTATTTTTATGTGGTGCTGAGGATCGAACCCAGGGCCGCACGCATGCCAGGCAAGCGCGCTACCGCTTGAGCCATAGCCCCAGCCCTCTATTTATTTTTTTTAAATATTATTTTTTAGTTGTAGTTGGACACAATACCTTTATTTTATTTATTTATTTTTACATGGTGCTGAGGATCCAACACAGGCCCTCGCATGTTCTAGGTGAGCGCTCCAAGGCAGAGCCACAAGCCTGGCCCCAGCCTTTTTTATTTTTTATTTTGTGAAAGGGTCTTGCTAAGTTGCTGAGACTGGCTTTGAACTTGCGATCCTCCTGCCTCAGCCTCCTGAGTTGCTGAGTTGATGGCTGTAAGAGAACTGTGATGTAGAAAAGGAGAAAGAGTCAATTGATACATTTCCCTTTTCCTATAGATTTCAACTTGACCATAATCCAGCAGTTGAAAATTCAACTTCCAGAGAATTTGCTGTACATTTGCACTGGGAGATTAAAAATAAGAGTAGTACTTTTCACAAAGCATAAAATAAACATAAAATCCCAATAGCCTAACCACGGGCATGGATGAGCGAGTGAATGGCCTAGGGCTCAGGTAGTAGCACGTTCAAAACATACTGAGGCAAAGAAACTACTGAGAACCTTGTTAAACATAAAGTACAAGTAGCTCCATGGTGGAGTGGCTGCCCAGCGTTCACGAGGCCCTGGCTTCCACCCCAGCATGGCAGCTTTTCCCCTCAGGAGTCTACCCTCCGGTGCTTCTCTAGGGAAGGCGTCTGAACACACCGTGCACCAGTTTGAAGGCTACTCCCAGCCTCTGGCTTTTTGGTGGAAGCTGCTCATTCCAGAAGAGCCCTCGTGCCACAGCATACAGCGGCTTAGACCACATCTGTAAAAGGCTGTGCTGCCGCGGAAGCCGTGGGAGCTGAGAGGCCCGACTGTGTCTCCCCAGGAGTCATGGAGTATGCACCCCTCCGACACCAGATAATTAGAGGAACTTAATCAAGATGCTGGGCGCAGAGATATGGAGCACATCATGCTAAGTGAAACAAGCCCATCCCAAAAAACCAAGGTCGAATGCTTTCACTGATATGTGGAAGCTAAGGGGGGCGGGGGGGGGTTCAGTAGATCAGACAAAGGAGAAGGGAAGGAAGTGGGGGGACAAGAAGAGAAAGACAGTAGAATAAAAAATACATAATTTTCCTGTATATACATATGAAATTTCCTAAGTGAACCCCACCATAGTGCTACCCAGAAGAAAGGGGTCCTAATTAGAATAAGATATACTGTATGCTTGTATAATTTTATCAAAATGGACTAGTCGAAGCGGAGCGTGGTGGTGCACGCCTGTAGTCCTGGCTGGGGAGGCTGAGGCAGTAGAATTGAGAGTTCAAAGCCAGCCTCAGCAATGGCGAGACACTAAGCAACTCAGTGAGACCCTGTCTCTAAATAAAATACAAAATAGGGCTGGGGATGTGGCTCAGTGGCTGAGTTCACTGGTACCTGAGTTCACTCCCTGGTACCAAAAAAAAAAAAAAAAAAAAAAAAGGACTAATCATGTGTAACTAAGAAGAATCAATAAAATAAAATTTAAAAAAAAGATTCTGGATACAGTGCCACACACCTATAATGCCTGGGAAGCTGAGCAAGTTCAAAAGCCAGCCTCAGCAATGTAGAAGGCCCCTAAGCAACTCAGACCCTGTCTCAAAATAAAAAAGTAAAAATTACTGGGATGTAGCTCCATAGTAAAGCACTCCTGGGTTCAATTTCCAGTACCAAAAAGAAAAGAAACAGTGGAACAGTAGGAATAATCACCTCTTTATGATTTTTTTTTTTGATACTGCAGATTGAATTCAGGTGTACTCAACCACGGAGCCACAACCCCAGCCCTATTCTGTATTTTATTTAGAGACAGAGTCTCACTGAGTTACTTAGCACTTCGCATTTGCTGAGGTTGGCTTTGAACTCATAATCCTAGCTGCTAGGATTACAGAAGTATGCCACCGTGCCTGGCGGAGGTGAAATATTTTTTTAATAATTATATATATAGTAGTGTAGTAATTTAGATGGATACAATACCTTTATTTTATTTATTTACCTTCATGTGGTGCTGAGGATCAAACCCAGGGCCTCACACATGCTAGGCAAGTGCTCTACCACTGAGCTACAATCCCAGCCCAATAATTCTTAATCTTTCAAGGTCCTGTTTAACTTCCATGGGACCATGATAACTAATTAACTAGGGCATAAGGCAGGAGTGACCTTATTTTGTCAAACCAATTTATAAGTGTCAAAGACTTTAGGAGCCTGGGAGTACGGAGCATTTGCCTTGGAAGCAATAAGTCCCTTAGGTTGATCCCCAACACTGCAAAAAAAAGAAAAAGAAAAAACATAACTAAAAATTTAAAAAATGAACCACCCAGGGCTGGGTCTGTAGCTCAGTGAGAGAGCGCTTGTCTAGCAAGTGTGAGGCATTGGGTTTGATCCTCAGCACATGCATGTGATCCCAGCTATTCCAGAGGCTGAGGCAGGAGGATTGCAAATTGGAGGCCAGTGTGGGCAACCTAGCAAGACCTTGTCTAAAAATTTAAAAAAATAATAAAAAGGGCTGGAGATGTAGCTTAGTGGTAAGAGTGCCCCTGGGTCCTAAATTCAATCCCTGGGTCCAGAAACAAACAAACGTCCCTCAAAACTGTGGTGCAGGCCTGTAGTCCAAGTCACTTGGGAGGCTAAGGCAGGAGGATTGCTTGAGCCCAAGAGTTCAAGGCCAGGCCTCCACAACAAAGAGATACCCTGTCTCATCTTTCTTCTTCTTCTTCTTTTTTTTTTAGGGGCACTGGGGACGGAACCAGAGCCTCATGCATGCTAGGTAAGTGCTCTACCACTGAGCTACATCCCCAGCCCAAGACCCCATCTCAAAGTAAAAAACACTTATAAACCCCCAAACCTGAGAGAGGGCTTCATCCTCCCCTCACTCCCCAACTACATGTGCCTGTGGATTCTCAGCTTTCCAGGGTTCAGCCGCTTTTCTCAGCACAAAGGGCTCCTTTGTGTGATGGGCTGTGAACAGGCCAAGACTTGGAGGGAGGCTCCCAAACAGACACACTGGACCTTCCATCATGTCCCTCTGCATGCTGGAAGTTGGCTTTAGCTTGGAGTAATTCACCTTGGGGCCTCTGCTCCCTGATCACATAGTTTTGAACCACTACTGACAATCTATTTATTGATTGATTGATTGATTGATTTATGTATTTATTTTTGGTACAGGGGGACTGAGGTTCTTCCCCACTGAGCCACATCCCTACCCCTTTAAAAAAAATAAATTTTTACTTATTTATTTATTTATTTTGGTGGTGCTGGGGATTGTACCCAGGCCCTTCTGCATGGTAGGCAAGTACTCTATATCCCCAGCCCCTCCTTTTTTACATTTTGAGACAGGGTCTTGCTAAATTGGTTAGGGCCTCCCTAAATTGCTGAGGCTGGCCTTGAATTTGCAATCCTCCTGTCTCAGTATCCGGATTTGCTGTGATTACAAATATGCACCACTGTGCCCCCTGCACTACTGACAACTTTAAATGACAAAGACACAAGTGTTTAAGAATCTGGTAAAATCACTCAAATCTAGTGTTCACATTAAAGAAAGCAAGAAAAATGTAAGACACTTTTGTAACCCACAGTATTACTTTCAGAAAATGAAGATGTCAGTTAATGATTTCCACAGTAAGAAATGATTTGCTAAACTATCAATCATACTTGAACACATCTAGGTGTTGGGGCTGGGGGTGTAGCTGAATACCTCTTGGCATGAGGGAAGCCCTAGGTTCCCCAGGACCCAATAAATATATGAATAAAATAAAACAACAGATCTCAGGGACTTACATGCTAAGAGGCGAAACAAATGGAAACAATAATTTTTAAAACAAATACAAAGTTATATTGGAATATTTTATTTTATTGTATTTTTTCCCCCAGTGCTGGGCATTAAACCCTGGCCTTTTTCATGAGATTCATCTCTTTCTAGTCTCTTTGGAATATTGTAGACTATCTCTTAAACTCTAGTTACTGAATACATTTTACATCTATTTAAAAATGATTGGTGCACGCCTGCGCTTGGGAGGCTGAGGCAGGAGGACTGCAAGTTCAAAGACAGCTTTGGCAAATTTATTTATTTATTTTTTTATGTGGTGCTGAAGATTGAATCCAGGGCCTCACACGCCTAGGTGAGCGCTCTACCACTGAGCCACAACCTCAGCCTCAGCCTCAGCAATTTAGCAAGAAACTAAGCAACTCCGTGAGACGCTGTCTCTAAATAAAAATCCAAAAATTGGGCTCGGGATGTGGCTCAGTGGTCGATTGCCCCTGTGTTCAATCCCCAGTACCAAAAACAAAAACCCGGTACTCAAATAAGAGAATAAATATGTCCATGGTTGCAAAGCCAGGGAGTGCTTGAAGGGACACATCACCAGGAGTTTGCCAAGAGCCACCTCAATCCAAAGGAATCCCCCTAGGATGGCTGTGTCCAGGAAACATACTACCAGAGACACATGGATTCTGTACAAGTGGTTCCAGATGGTTATTCTCTGCTCTCCTTTCATGTGACATGTCCACAAACTAGACATGAGTTTTTGGAGAAGCGCAATCCACAGCTCTGTGGGGGAAAACGTTATTAAAATGCTGCGTGGGTTTGAAACGCACCACGGAGGACCACAGCGATAGACGATGCATTGCGTTGGGGATCGGAAGGCGACATCTGGAAATGCGGGGAAGGATCTGGAAACTTAAGGACTTAATGTCAGCCCTAGACAGAGCCAGGTTAGGGCAGCGGACGAAATCCGAGCCAGCGCTGCCCACATCTTCGGAAGACTCGGTGGGAAGCTGATGCTGGGGGAGAGAGGAGGCTCGGCCCCCGCCCCTGCTCCTCCCGCGCGCGGCGCACACGCGACTCAGGGTCCCCGCGCCCCTGGCGGGCGCCACACAGTCGCGGAGCCGCCCAGGGAGGGACGCGCAGGGGGGGGGCGGGAGGGACACAGGGTTGCCGCTGCCCGCCCCGCCCCACCCTGCGGCCGTAGGGACAGAGGGCGGACTCCGCCGCCAGCGCGGACCCGGCCGGGCAGCCCCCCGTCCCAGGGCCCTGCCCCACGCTTACCGTCTCCCGGCCTGGAGGTCCCGGCATCCTCCCCTCGCCGCCCCCCGGGCCGCCCACGACACCGCACTGCCACCCGAGCGCTCGGCGGCGGCGAGGCACGCGCGGCGGACTGCGGCGGAAGCGCACGGCGACACCAAGGCGCCTTGCGTAGCGTGGCCACACCCTCCTTCCCGGCGGCGCCCTCTTTGCCTGATCGACAATGGGGGAGGTCACCTAGCTGAGTGGTCCCCCACAGGGTCTGTTGAACCGACCTCTTCCCTCCTGCCCTTTTAACCTGAAAGCGGAATTGTTCACCTCCAGGGCGGGACGCTGAGATCTTCCCTCAGCTGCTGGAGCGCGGGGACAGAGGTGTGCCCAGGAAAGCCCAGGCCTGGTCCCCCTCCAGGTGTTGGGATCCCTTGAGGAGCCACCCACTGGGGAGCAAGTACAGAACTAGAGGGTCACCCAGGTCTGCTACAGCCAGCCAGGTCAGTTCAAGGAGGCCCACATGAGTGAGTCTGGGAAGTTGGAGGCTGCCCCCTGAGGAACTGAATGCCTTCAGAGCCCTCTGCCACCCTATCTAGATCACCTGCCCCTGCTCCAACCTGTTGCTAAGGTGACCAGGCTGCTCCATCCTGCCCTGCCCCCTTCAGCCCACCTGTTTCTCACCTTTTGTCCATCCCTCTGGTACCGCTGGTCCTGCTTCTCCACATGGTGAAGTTGGAACATTAGAGAAGCATGCAGAGGCAAGCATACAAAGCAGGGTGTGTTTTAAAAGGGGTAGCATAGATTTCTCCCTGGAGGGAGAAGGGGGCCATAGCTGTATCCTGGTATCCAAAGAAGCGAGGTGTTCTGCCCTTTTTAGATGTCCTAGGCTTCCTTTGTTCTCCTGCCTTTTCCCCCTTATCTAGGTTGCCCCCTTTTAAATAAACCCTGCTTTGTATGCTTGCCTTGGCGTGCTTCTCTAATGTTATGCTTCAACATGTGGGGAAGCAGGACTAGTTACTGGTAACTGGCAGTATCTCAGGGACACTTCCTAAAGCAATCACACCCTGAGAAATGTTCAATAAATAAATCCCCCAAGTATAGGGGCTGGGGATATCACTCAGTTGGTAGTGCTTACCTTGCATGCACAAGACAAGGCACCCTGGGTTCAAACCTCAGCACCACAAAACAAAACAAAACAAAAAACCACACACACCTCAGGTGTACACTTTACATGGGAAGAAAGCTTACTTTGGAGCAGTTTATTTTTGCCACACTGGGGATTGACCCCAGAGACTCCTACATGTCAGGGAAGTGCCATGTTAGATTGAGAGTGTTCTGTTGTAGTGTCACCTGCTTTCTCCACAGAAAAGTCTTAACTGGGCTTCTCCAGAAATCTTCACCGTGGCTGATTTTAGGAATGTCAGCAAAAGAGTCTCTAGAAAAGATTTCAGTGTAGATAAACTTTCTATTTTCATGTCGCCCTGTTTTACTTGGCCACTGGCCGGGAAGATGCCAGCACTCCAAGTGCTGGACACCCCTTACTAGTTTTTCACAAACGCATCCAGTATAGTAGTTTGTAGAAATGTGCAAACAAGGCCTCTGGCCCTGAGCTGGGCTTCACAGAGATGTCTACATTTTTAAGATAAGT